GCCGAAAGGTAAGGAAGTGAAGCAATAGAACTTTCCGCCCAATTGAAAGCCCAAAAACTTCCAGCACGATGGGTGGATTTCGACGTGGTGGTAGCCTGACTTGAGATCGATTGTGAACATCCAGTCGTTTGGGCGAATGATCTCCGCGACCCGACTCAAGCCCTCGTACTTGAACTTCGGAACTTGGAGGTGAGCGTTGACCTTCCGCAGGTCAAGGATGAGCCGACATTGTTAAGATAGTGGTGTTAAGATAGTGGCACAAGTGGTAGTTAGGTTTAAGTGAGGGCCTAGGCTTAGTAGCCTAGGCCAAGGGAGTCGAGGGAGTTTGTGCCAAGTCGAGAGAGTCGAGAGAGGAGAATGAATGACTTCACTATAGGTTTGCAAGAACATATAGCAAATGAACAAAGAAGGTGCACCACCTAACAAAGTTTATAATAACTACACTAACTACAGCTACAGGCAGTTACAGACATATTCTAACACTCCCCCATAACTGCCAGAAGCAGGAGTCTGTGCAGCGACACAACCTGGATGGGTACACCACGAACTGAGAAAACAGCAACAGCAGGCAACAGGCAAGGTTACAAAGCAGGTACAGCAGCAAAGGGGGGGGGGGCAGGCACTCCTGCCACCCCTTTACTCTCCCCCCACCCCCCCCCCCCCCCCCCCCCACCTCAGAGGGACGGGGGCTGGATGTCTCACACCCGCCACTCCAATGCCACTCCCCTGGCTCCCCCACACCCTCACACCCTCCCCCCAGCGGCAGCTGCAGCAGTGGGAACGAAAGGAGGAGGAGGGGAAGGGACCATACCACCCATCACCCCCATACCCGCCACCTCCATACCCTCCCCCCCACGGCTGCACGCACAGCAGGAAGAAGAAGGAGGAGGGGGAAGGGGGGGGGGGGGGGGTGGCGGGGAAGAAGCCGCCCCACAGCCACAGAGGGGTGGCGCACAGGGAAGGGCAGGGGCGGCTGCACCGAGGGCAGGCGCGGGTAGGGTAGGGGCGGCTGCACCGAGTCCAGGCGCATGTGAGGCACGGGCGGCTGCACCGAGTGCAGGCGCTGGTGAGGCAGGGGCGGCTGCTCGAAGGCAGGCGCGAGGTGAGGCAGAGGCGCCGTCGCGGGCGCCAGGGGCGGGTCCGCAGCGGCCCAAGGAACCGTCGTGGGCGCCAGGGGCGGGTCCGCGGCGGCTCAGGCCACCGTCACGGGCGCCAGGGGCGGGTCCGCGGCGGCGCAAGGCACCGTCGCGGGCGCCAGAGGCGGGTCCGCGGCGGCTCAGGGCACCGTCGCGGGCGCCAGGGGCGGGTCCGCGGCGGCACAAGGCACCGTCGCGGGCGCCAGGGGCGGGTCCGCGGCGGCTCAGGGCACCGTCGCGCGCCACGGGGCGCACGACGGGCAGGCAGGCAGGCAGGCAGGCACCGTCGCGGGCGCCAGGGGCGGATCCGCTGCGGCTCAGGGCAGAACAAACGTCACGCGCCACCCGTGCGCGGGACATAACGAAAATCGCCACGCGCCCGAGGCGCGCGCCCGGAAAAGCAGATGCGGAAGCGTGAGGCTGGCCCACAAGCCAGGACGTAACAAGCTCTAATGCCATGTTAAGATAGTGGCACAAGTGGTAGTTAGGTTTAAGTGAGGGCCTAGGCTTAGTAGCCTAGGCCAAGGGAGTCGAGGGAGTTTGTGCCAAGTCGAGAGAGTCGAGAGAGGAGAATGAATGACTTCACTATAGGTTTGCAAGAACATATAGCAAATGAACAAAGAAGGTGCACCACCTAACAAAGTTTATAATAACTACACTAACTACAGCTACAGGCAGTTACAGACATATTCTAACAGACATTTGTCACGTTGCTGCACGACATTGAGCGGGCTGATGCACGTAAGTGCGGCTTTCGACGAGACATTCATCGCGGCGCCTGACGCGATGAGGTCGCTGACCGCGTCTTGGGTGAATGCCATGTGTGCTTGAACCCCTGCGTGATTGGGAGCTTCGAAGGGGAGACGCTCTGCACCCTTCCATGGTAGCCAGTACCCTTTGGCAATGATGGAGAGGATAAGACTGCTGTCGCACCATGATAGCCACCAGTGGAGGCTGTTGCGCAATCGCATTCGCATAATGGACACCATGTTGTCCGTTATTGCATGCTCGTATGGGTCCCAGTGAGCACTCTGCCACTCGCCTTCCGCTTCTGCAATTGGTGAGCAACCGAGGTTGTGGGGGGGGAACGAGGACCAAGGTCGATTAGACGTGGGATTTCACGAAACACTTCGTAAAACTATGTCGCTCGCCTTTTACCGCCTTCGCGCCTCCCCGCACCCCCGGGTTTTTTTTTTTTTTTTTTTTTTTTTTTTGGAACACTTCCCTTGACCACTCCTCAGCCATGACACCCTTGCAGGGTTTTTTTTTTTTTTTTTTTTTTTTTTTTTTTTTTGAGATTGCCTTACAACGAGATCGGCGCAAGTGCGTCACTTGGTCCCACAACCTTGTTCATCACGATGTCTTCGTGGCTTCTCTCTCTCTCTCTCTCTCTCTCTCTCTCTCTCTCTCTCTCTCTCTCTCTCCCTCTCCCTCTCTCTTTCTCTCTCTTTTACTCTCTTCCCCTCTCTTTTTGTTTTGATTTGTTTTGTTTTGTTTTGTTTTTTTGCTTCTCTCGGTCCTTGCTTCACCATTGGCCAACTCTTCCTCCATGGCTGCCTTCCTCAAGAGGGGGCTGGCTTTTGACTTGCCGTGCTATCCGTCCTCCCTCCTCTTGTTGTCTCTCTTTCTCTCTCTCTTTTTTTTTTTTTTTTTTTTTTTTTTTTTTACAATGTTCTTTTATTAATCCACACAAAGGCATACAAGCCTAGGCCTACACCATAACCAGCCCCTACGGCTGCCATTTTGTCCTGGCCCCCATGGCCTATGCTACTCTCCAAGGCTCCTAACCAGCCTACGCACCACCGGTGCATCCACCTACGCCCCCCAGCATAGTGGCAAGGGGCGCCGCCCCATGGGTCCTCTCACACCACGGGTGCGGGACCTTGTGCTCCACGCCCTCCCATAGGGCAATTGTTTGCCATATGGCCGGGCTGGCCGCAATGGAAACACACTCCCTTGAAGCGGGGCTCGTGGCAGCCCGCGGGTGGCATGCCTTTGCTTTCCGGTTCGCCGTCTCGAGGGGGAAGGCGGCCTCCGCGGGCGAAGCCGGTGCGTGCACGCTTGAGGGCCGCCACGTCGGCTACCGCGAGCTTGTAAGAGCGGGACGTGAGCACGCTCTTGGCTTGGTACAGCTGGAACCGATCCGCCGCCTCGAAACCGGCCTCATCCGCCACCAAGAGCACCTCGAAACGTTTGTTGATCAACGTTTCGACTTGCTCCAAGTTGGAGAGCGCGCCCTCGACGTCGCCGTGTTGGAGCTTGAACTCGACGTGCCTCAGGTGAGCTGGAATTGCAGAGAACACCTCCGCCTGGTCACGCACTCCCTTGCGCATGAAGGTAGTAGCTGCGGGTGAAGGGTTGAGGGGGGGAAGGGGAGGTGCGGGTGCGAGAATGCGACGGCGAGCAAGATTGTCGGGGGCCTCACCGTCTTCATTTTCCGAGTCGTCGCTGTCGTCGGGGATACGGGCTTGGGTTGGTGCCGGAGCCGGGGCAGGAGCAGGAGCAGCGTTGTTGGCGTGAGCGACCTTCGTGGAGCGGGGGGGAGCGACAGGTTCCTTCTGCTTTTCAATTTTAGCGGAAGCAGAAATGTCTTCAGTCGATGTAGCTGTAGTCGATGGCGCGTGCTGCTGCAATAACGAGAGCAGCGCCTGCAGCTGTTGCGCGGTCAAAGGGGGGGGGGGGCGTTGACCGGCGTGACGTCAGCGGAGGGTGCCGCGCGCTGGCGTTTCTGGGTCGTGGGCCCGGATTGACCCGCGTCAGCGGCGGTCAAGACGACTGCCGCGTCAGCGGCGGTCGTCGTCTTCTGCGCGGCACGCGCGTGCCTGCCAGGCACGCGCTCTTCAGCCGCAGCCACGCGCGACTGTACAACAGTCGCGCGTTCCTCAGGGGGGGTCCGAAGGGTGCCTCCGAGCAGGAGGTCGACCGCCGAAGGTCCCTCGCTCGAAATTTCTTCGGCGGGACGTTTTCCGCCGCGACGATCCGAAGTCCCGGCCGGAGTCGAGGTTTCCGCCGCGTTACCGGGGCTTGAAATATTCGAGTTGTCGCGGTTAAGTGCCGGGTTGACCGGAGCCATCGTTGCGAGGTTGCACTTAAGGATGTCGTTAAGGAGCGTTGACGGGGCAGTGAAGCGCGGAAGCAACTGAGTCTTCGCTAGTGTGGACGAGAACGAAATTAGAACTACAATTTCAGAAATGAAAACGTGGGTGGGGACGAATGTCCCCACGTCCCTCTTTTGTAGGCAAAAGAGGGTGAGTAGCGCTTCGACGCTACCTTTGCTGTGTTGGCCACGTACCCCTTTTCACAATACAAAATTTTAGAAAGTGTTACATTTCATTACACTTTCAAAAATTATCATTTCAATTAATGGCATTGGCATGTTACAGACAGTATTGATCCACCAGGACAGATCCTAGATCCTCACTCACAGCGTTAACAATTCATAATTCTTTCACATTTGCATAATGTGTGTACACTTGGAGAACCATCCAAACCACCTCCCCATGCCTGTTGTGGAGTGCCACATAATAGCTAGCTACTATATATCCCTAGCCAGCCTAGAACGTGGCGGGAACATCGCCATGCCGCTTCCTGACTCGTGAGTTGGGACGCACAGAAAGGTTGTTACCTGCCTGCCGCAACAGCCGCAGCCGCAACAGCCGCAGCCGCAACAGCATCAGCAACAACCAGTACGACCAACAGCCATCACTACCAGCAGCTTCAAGAAGCACCTGCATCATCACCACCAGTAGCAGTAACAGCCTGCTGTGCGGCGAGTTGAGCACGGATTTCAGTGGAGGAGATGCCTGCTCTGAAGCTCGGCTCAGCAACAACCAGTATGAGCAGCAGGCATCACTACCAGCAGCTTCAAGAAGCACCTGCATCAGCACCAGCGGCGGCGGCGGCAGCAGCAGCAGCAGCCTGCTGTGCGGCGAGTTGAGCGCGGATTTCAGTGGAGGAGATGTCTGCTCTGAAGCTCGCCTCGGGAATGCCTCGGAACATGGCACGTAGGGACTCCGGCACGACCAGACTGTCAGATGACTGGGGGAGAGGAGGAGGTAGCGTTGGGAGGGAGGAAAGGGAGGGTCTATTATTGAGGCGTCTCAAAAATGGGAATGCCTCGGAACATGGCACGTAGGGACTTCGGCACCACCAGACTGTCAGATGACTGGGAGAGAGGAGATAGCGTGGGGAGCAAGAGGGGTAGGGGAGAGAGGAAGGGTGGGGAAGGAGTGAGGTAGGGCGGAAGGGAAGTGAGGCAGGGTGGAGGGGGAGAGTGGTGGGAACGCGGTAGTGCATGCTCTGTTCATCGGTTGGGACGAGTTGAAGGACTTTCAACAACAGGTGAAGGAGTCGAATCAGCAGTATCTGACAGGAGTTGAAGCAGCAGTATCTGACAGGAGTTGAGACAAGTCTCAAGCAGTTTTCACCCAAGGAAGCTAAAGCAGCAGTATGCCAGTATCTGCAACAAGGCGTCAACTCTTCAGGAATACCCAAAACGTGGAACAAATGAAGACGGCAACAACCAGGAAATCCTTTTCTGTCTGGGCGATGCCATGCAGCAAGTAGGAAGGTGACTTTTGAGTCGACTCAAAAGTCACCACGGAATCATAGCCTGTCTGAGCAATGCGTGCAGCAAGTAGGAGATGAACCTGAAAGGAGGAAGTGGGTATGTGCAAGCACATAGTCAGCCAGCCGTACCTGGAAGGAGGAACCGACGAGCCTGCCGGCAACGAGGGAGTCACAGCGGGAGTGGGCAATCCCGTGCAGCACATGGGAGGAGGAGATGACAGGCGCACCTGAAACGTGGCGCCAACGAGCCTGCCAGCGACAAGGAAGTCAGAGCCGGTGTGGGCAATAGCGTGCAGCACATCCATCATGCTGCTGTGGCTGTTGCCGTAGTACTTTGGCTGGTGGGGGGCAGAGGGCAGGGAGGAGGGAGCGGGGTGACCAGTGAGAAAACGTTGAACAACTGAATAGAGGTGTCGTAGGCGATAAAAAGGTGGAGTGGGGGAAGAGAGAGGGCGAGTACTGGAAGCACCTAACACTAGAGAAGAACTCACGTCGAGCAAGCGAACTGCAGTGTCGTATCCAATGACAAAGGTGGAGTGGGGGAAGAGAGAGGCCTTGCTAGCAAAGAGAGGCAGGCGGGTTATCACCACCATGTGACCTGGGGGAGGGTGGGGTTGGAAGAAGTGGAAGGAGAGGGGTGAGAGAGGTCGAGGGAAGAGAGAACGGAGGAACCTAATGTGCATTGTGCACACTGTCTATGATATTTTAAGCGCCTCAAAAACATGTAAATACATACCACGTGCAGTACATGCGGTACATACCATGTGCAGTACATGCGGTACATACCATGTGCAGTACATGCGGTACATACCATGTGCAGTACATGCGGTACATACCATGTGCAGTACATGCGGTACATACCATGTGCAGTACATGCGGTACATACCATGTGCAGTACATGCGGTACATACCATGTGCAGTACATGCGGTACATACCATGTGCAGTACATGCGGTACATACCATGTGCAGTACATGCGGTACATACCATGTGCAGTACATGCGGTACACACCATGTGCAGTGAACTGGTGGACTCGCCTCTCCACCTCGTCCACAGGGATGGCTCCCTTGTCCGCGTTCCATGCCGCCATCTCGTAGCATGGCACTCCACCTCGCACCTCCCTGCATGTCCACACGGTGCACAGGGTGATTTCTAGTACGCAAAGAGAAACCTGATTCAGCAGTGCAGGGCACTCACAGCAATCAGCAGTGCAGGGCACTCACAGCAGCGCAGCAGCCATCAAGTCAGTGTGCCCCTGGTGCAGTGGGTTGAAGGAACCGCACAGCACCACTCTGCGCCCCTCCCCTGCTGCTCCCCACCTGCTCGCCCAGGTAGGGGCGGCTGAAGCGTGGAGAGAGAGGGAGGCACAGGAGTGGAGGAGTGGAGGAGAGGCGGAGGGGAAGGAGGGAGAAAAATCTCCACTCCAAGAGCAGTCTGACAGGCACTCGTACCAGAAACAGCACACGCCACTTGCAGAACGGACGGCATATAGGAATCATAGACACCAACCGCCACACGCTCCTCAAGCACCTCCTGTATCCAAAGCAGACAGAGTGAGGTGGCCACTCAGCAAGGCATAAGGTAAGCAAGCACGCAGTGAGGCAAGCGTCCGTACCAAAGACAGCATACGGCACTCGTCCGTCCAGAACCTCCTGTATCTGCTCCCCCCGCCCCACCACTGCAGCTGCCTCGTCCACCCCGTCCCCCCGCCCCTCCCCCACCGCCACTCCCCCCGCCACTGCTGGTAACCCCATGCTCGCCGCTAGCACCTGGAAGGGTGGAGAGGTGGGGAGAGGGGGGTCCTACTCCTTGGCAACCATGTGAGCTCTCTCAAGAGACTCCTCAGACTGAGGCGAAGCAGAGAGTGCGACCAGGATAGGTGCTGCAGCACAAATCATATCAGCACTTACGCGGATCAGGAGGCAATTCTTACAAGTCCCAGGATTCATTGACAGACTCTGGAGAAGCAGAGCGTGCGAGCAAGTAGGCGAGGCACAGCACAGAAATCTATGACATGTGGTATGTCACCATGGCCATACCACCACGGCCATACCACCATGGCCATACCACCACGGCCATACCACCATGGCCATACCACCACGGCCATACCACCAAGGCCATACCACCATGGCCATACCACCATTGCCATACCACCATTGCCATACCACCACGGCCATACCACCACATACCCGGATCAAGAGGCGACTTGCCATGTCATCCTCCTGCTGCCGGGATCGTAGTGCCTCCTGTGGTGTTGCCATGGGGGGCGCCGGCGTGGGGGTGGGGGGAAGGAGGGGGAGGGAGGGCATAAGACGCGTGCAGGCGAGAGAGACGAAGAGGTGGGGGCTGGGAACAGGGAAGTTGGAAATGACCGTGCGTGGGATGGGAACAATGTGTGGGAAATTTATAGCGCAAAGGAAGAGTTTTTTTTATTGCTGGTGGATGATAGAAACAACGAATGGATGACCTGTCACATGTGTTGGCATGCCACGAAAGGGGAAGTTAGGAAATATGGTGTGTGGGGGGGAAGACGAAAGGAAGATTCGTCGGGTTGCTGGTGCGATACATAGGTGGGATGCTTGGACAATCAATGACCCATGGATGCCCCATGGATGACCCATGGATGACCCATGGATGACCCATGGATGACCCATGGATGACCCATGGATGACCCATGGATGACCCATGGATGACCCATGGATGACCCATGGATGACCCATGGATGACCCATGGATGACCCATGGATGCCCCATGGATGCCCCATGGATGCCCCATGGATGACCCATGGATGACCCATGGATGCCCCATGGATGCCCCATGGATGACCCATGGATGACCCATGGATGACCCATGGATGACCCATGGATGACCCATGGATGACCCATGGATGACCCATGGATGACCCATGGATGACCCATGGATGACCCATGGATGACCCATGGATGACCCATGGATGACCCATGGATGCCCCATGGATGCCCCATGGATGCCCCATGGATGACCCATGGATGACCCATGGATGCCCCATGGATGCCCCATGGATGCCCCATGGATGACCCATGGATGACCCATGGATGACCCATGGATGCCCCATGGATGCCCCATGGATGCCCCATGGATGACCCATGGATGACCCATGGATGCCCCATGGATGCCCCATGGATGACCCATGGATGACCCATGGATGACCCATGGATGACCCATGGATGACCCATGGATGACCCATGGATGACCCATGGATGACCCATGGATGACCCATGGATGACCCATGGATGACCCATGGATGACCCATGGATGACCCATGGATGCCCCATGGATGCCCCATGGATGCCCCATGGATGACCCATGGATGACCCATGGATGCCCCATGGATGCCCCATGGATGCCCCATGGATGCCCCATGGATGACCCATGGATGCCCCATGGATGCCCCATGGATGACCCATGGATGCCCCATGGATGCCCCATGGATGCCCCATGGATGCCCCATTTCTCTCTCAAGCCGATAGGTGCAGAGATCGTCAAGATGCCTCAAAACTCGATTGCTGAGGCGAGTACTAGACATATCAGGGAGGGGGCGAGTGACCTTGGATAGGTGCAAAGAGCACTCCCGCAGCATGCCTTGTTGGCTTTGAGTCGACTCTAGAGTCAGCACGGCAAGGAAAGGGGGGCTCATTCACCTTGGAGAGGAGCAGAGAGTACTCCCACAGCATGCCTTGAGAGCGCGCTGCTATGTGACACCTGCCATGCCATACAGGTTGTGTTGGCGAGGGAGGGAAGCTCAGAGGAAACTGAAGATGAAAGCGTGGGGTGAGAGTGAATATGAGGGTGTGGGCTGGGATGGGAAAAGAAAAGTGCGGGTTGAGTTACGAGGAGAAGACTGTGGGGTGTTGTGAGATGAAGCAGCGGCGGGATGAGACAAGAAAGATACATGGGCACGGCAAGGCAAGGTGGCCTTCCGCCACCACCCTGTTTTGTTTGACAAGGTGAGCAAAGAGACAAGGAGGTGTGTGTGTGCCACCACTCAAAACTCGCCCACAGACGCACATCTCACAAGAAAATCTAACCGGTCTTTCAGGCCCCATCCCCTCCATGTCCCTTTGCCCCATGCCCCACGCCCCATGCACATGCCCACCATGCCCCATGCCCCATGCACATGCCCACCATGCCCCATGCCCCATGCACATGCCCACCATGCCCCATGCCCCCCATGGTCACCTGTGCGCGCCCCTCTTAGGAGCACTAGACACCAATGCGCACGTGCAGCCCACTCCCACCACCGGCTGTGCTGGTGGGGCCATTGTGTGGGGGGGGAGGGGTAGTGGGACAACAGATGAGAGAGGAGGAAGGGAGAGAAGGAGAGAGGGGGAGAGAGAGACGGGAAGAGGGAGGCTGGAGAGGGAGTGAGGGGAGGGAGGAAGGGGAAGCACAGCGGCAAGGGAGTTATGGATATGAATGTGAGCAGGATTTCTAACGGAGGGGGGGGGGGGGACAGGGGAGCGTAGCGATGGGAGAAAGCAAGAGTAGTGATGGGAAAAGACATACCGATGGGAGCAAGGGAGAGTGCTCGGTTGTAGGAAGCAAAGGCGAGGTGCTGTGCTGCTGCTCTGCTCACGTACTGGTGGAGACGAGGTAGATGCGAGGTGCATGTGGGGAGGAAATGGCATGTTATGCGAGGTAGAGAGTGTGGACGCATGGGTGAAAGGATGCATGGGTGAAAGGATGCATGGGTGAAAGGATGCATGGAGATTATACAGCAGGTAGTAAACCCCACCATGGCCCAGAATAAATGGGCATCGTTGTGGCACGGCACATGGTGGGCGCTATGCATTGTGATGTGATTCTAACGCAATGTGAGTACAGAGCACAGTACGATGCCACACACAGAGATGGCGTTATTACCACATCAAACATCATGTGGGGCAGTGTGTGTGGCATTTCCCCCCCCCCCCCCCACCATACCACCACCTTCCCCAACACCCCTCTACATCCAGCCACATTTCCACGATAATCACCTTCCCACCTTCATCTCTTCCCACTTCTCACCCCAACTCCACTGCTCAAGCTAAATTCCGCTGCTCAACCCACCTGTCTCGTTTGCTGCTTACGCGATCCATCCACGCCCTTCCCCTCCTCCCCTTCCGCCCCCCCTCCCCCCTCCGCACTCCCCTCCGCCCGCCCTTCTCCCCCCCGCGCCTGCGCAGTCACCTGCACCTGCGCCTGCGCGTGCCACGTGGCGTCCACGTATTGGTCGAACGCGCGCTGCGAGTACGGCAGCACAGCCTCCAGGACAGTCTGTGACGCGCCGGGAACCGCTACTAGCCACCCCACGGCCTTATATCGGGGGTGGGGGAAAGACATTGGGGCGGTGAGTTGGGGAAGAGGGTTGCATGCTGACAGAGGAGACAAGCGCCGCCATTGGCGGTACCAGGGAAAGCGCCATTACCCGCGGGACACGCGCCATTGGCGGTATCGCAACGCGAATGTGGACGGTAGGCGTCTAATCGACACTGCAGAAGCACGGCGAGGGTATCAGCAGAAGAAAAAAAAATGGTGCGCATGAGACGAATCGACCTACCTGCGATGCGCCTCCGGTGACGGCAAGCACGGCGCGCGCTGGCGCGGCGTGGATGGCGGAGATGGCGGAGAGAAGCGCGGGCTCCATGGGGGGCGAAATGGAAGGTGGGAGAATGACAGAATTAGTGCATATGCAGAACGCAGATTCCAGCGGGACTTCGCATTTTACCGCATATAGCGAAATTCGGCATTCACGACAAAGAAACACCTACCTCCCTTTCCTTCTCCACCTCCCTTCTCCTTCATTTATGTCTCTCTTTACCTTTTTCCTCTTTCTGTATAGGATCATATGATGTACGCTTATTTTAACAGAACAAAATGTGAGGTTTTGAAGAAACACCTACGGTACTTCACCAATAGTGACTGATCACAACCACCACATAGAACCTATTTATAACCACTTCCTAGTTTATATACACCAGTGCATGTTATCAAAACAGAATTTGCTCAGCTTGGGTGACGTAAACGTGTGACGTTACCCACATGTATTATACTGGATGCATTCACACCCCTGGCCTGTACGCTGTGCAAAGTTGGGATGGCTTGAAAGTTTTCAACTGGGTTGAGTGAGAGGTTGCAGCAGCTGCATAGCAGCAAAGGAATCACTCTCTTGAACGCCCAGAGTGAATGGGTCGAACGTCACCTCGTTTCTCAGCTCCACCTGTGCAAGGGCGCACAGCGAGACGGCAACCACAAAAAAAAAAAAAAAAAAAAAAAAAAAAAAAAAAAAAAAAAAAAAAAAAAAAAAAAAAAACAACAACAACAACAACAACAACAACAAACAAACAAACCACAGTGTGATGGCATCGCATATGGATTAGGGAAAGGAAACTCATACGTGCATGACCCATGAGGCATGCAATGACCAGGAGGCATCTAAACCGCGCATGGACCAGAAGGCGGGGGTGCAGGGTGTCACAAAGCCCATGGGCAACGGCAGGGAAGGAGGTGACGGCCTCCACTGTGACACTGCGATTCACCATGTCGCTCAGCAGGCGCCGTGCATTGGCTGCTGCCAGCTCCAACGCCTGGGGGCAGGTGTGCGAGTGAGGTGTGCGAGTGAGGGAGGGAAGGAGGGGTGGAGGGGAGAGGCGGGGGAAGAGGGTCAGAAGAATGGTGGGGCGAATGCTGATAAAATACAAGAACGGTGAAGCAAGTAACAGCATAATCTGAGAATAATCTGCGGCACGTCTGGTGTTCATTTGAAAATCGAATAAAATGATTTGCGACGTATACGACAAATGTTCAGGAATTGTGAATGCAAGGGAGTGAATGTAAGAAAACAAAGGAAGGAGAGGGGGAGGGGGGAGGGAGGAAGGGAAGGATGGGGGGACGAGGAAAGGCGGGAAGGGGGGAGAGGACAGTCATAACGGAAAATGGGTGGAGCAAAGACTTACGCTCATGGTGGCTGATAGCTCCATGACCTTGTTGTCCCGCGGCATGAACTGCCCCGCTCCCATGTTACTCTCGCCTATCTGTGCTCCCATGCCACACCACATCACATGCACAACACCACACCACCACATGCATATCACCACACCACCACATGCATATCACCACACCACCACATGCATATCACCACACCACCACATGCATATCACCACACCACCACATGCATATCACCACACCACCACATGCATATCACCACACCACCACATGCATATCACCACACCACCACATGCATATCACCACACCACCACATGCATATCACCACACCACCACATGCATATCACCACTCCACCACATGCATATCACCACACCACCACATGCATATCACCACACCACCACATGCATATCACCACACCACCACATGCATATCACCACACCACCACATGCATATCACCACACCACCACATGCATATCACCACACCACCACATGCATATCACCACACCACCACATGCATATCACCACACCACCACATGCATATCACCACACCACCACATGCATATCACCACTCCACCACATGCATATCACCACTCCACCACATGCATATCACCACACCACCACATGCATATCACCACTCCACCACATGCATATCACCACACCACCACATGCATGTCACCACTCCACCACATGCATATCACCACTCCACCACATGCATATCACCACTCCACCACATGCATGTCACCACTCCACCACATGCATATCACCACTCCACCACATGCATATCACCACTCCACCACATGCATATCACCACTCCACCACATGCATGTCACCACTCCACCACATGCATATCACCACTCCACCACATGCATGTCACCACTCCACCACATGCATATCACCACTCCACCACATGCATATCACCACTCCACCACATGCATATCACCACTCCACCACATGCATATCACCACTCCACCACATGCATATCACCACTCCACCACATGCATATCACCACTCCACCACATGCATATCACCACTCCACCACATGCATGTCACCACTCCACCACATGCATATCACCACTCCACCACATGCATATCACCACTCCACCACATGCATATCACCACTCCACCACATGCATATCACCACTCCGCCACATGCATGTCACCACTCCACCACATGCATATCACCACTCCACCACATGCATGTCACCACTCCACCACATGCATATCACCACTCCACCACATGCATATCACCACTCCACCACATGCATGTCACCACTCCACCACATGCATATCACCACTCCGCCACATGCATGTCACCACTCCACCACATGCATATCACCACTCCACCACATGCATGTCACCACTCCACCACATGCATATCACCACTCCACCACATGCATGTCACCACTCCACCACATGCATATCACCACTCCACCACATGCATATCACCACTCCACCACATGCATATCACCACTCCACCACATGCATATCACCACTCCACCACATGCATATCACCACTCCACCACATGCATATCACCACTCCACCACATGCATATCACCACTCCACCACATGCATATCACCACTCCACCACATGCATATCACCACTCCACCACATGCATGTCACCACTCCACCACATGCATATCACCACTCCACCACATGCATATCACCACTCCACCACATGCATGTCACCACTCCACCACATGCATGTCACCACTCCACCACATGCATATCACCACTCCACCACATGCATGTCACCACTCCACCACATGCATGTCACCACTCCACCACATGCATATCACCACTCCACCACATGCATGTCACCACTCCACCACATGCATATCACCACTCCACCACATGCATATCACCACTCCACCACATGCATATCACCACTCCACCACATGCATATCACCACTCCACCACATGCATATCACCACTCCACCACATGCATATCACCACTCCACCACATGCATGTCACCACTCCACCACATGCATGTCACCACTCCACCACATGCATATCACCACTCCACCACATGCATGTCACCACTCCACCACATGCATATCACCACTCCACCACATGCATGTCACCACTCCACCACATGCATATCACCACTCCACCACATGCATGTCACCACTCCACCACATGCATGTCACCACTCCACCACATGCATATCACCACTCCACCACATGCATATCACCACTCCACCACATGCATATCACCACTCCACCACATGCATATCACCACTCCACCACATGCATATCACCACTCCACCACATGCATATCACCACTCCACCACATGCATATCACCACTCCACCACATGCATATCACCACTCCACCACATGCATGTCACCACTCCACCACATGCATGTCACCACTCCACCACATGCATGTCACCACTCCACCACATGCATATCACCATTCCACCACATGCATATCACCACTCCACCACATGCATATCACCACTCCACCACATGCATATCACCACTCCACCACATGCATATCACCACTCCACCACATGCATATCACCACTCCACCACATGCATATCACCACTCCACCACATGCATATCACCACTCCACCACATGCATATCACCACTCCACCACATGCATATCACCACTCCACCACATGCATATCACCACTCCACCACATGCATATCACCACTCCACCACATGCATATCACCACTCCACCACATGCATATCACCACTCCACCACATGCATATCACCACTCCACCACATGCATATCACCACTCCACCACATGCATATCACCACTCCACCACATGCATATCACCACTCCACCACATGCATATCACCACTCCACCACATGCATATCACCACTCCACCACATGCATATCACCACTCCACCACATGCATATCACCACTCCACCACATGCATATCACCACTCCACCACATGCATGTCACCACTCCACCACATGCATGTCACCACTCCACCACATGCATATCACCACTCCACCACATGCATATCACCACTCCACCACATGCATGTCACCACTCCACCACATGCATGTCACCACTCCACCACATGCATATCACCACTCCACCACATGCATATCACCACTCCACCACATGCATATCACCACTCCACCACATGCATATCACCACTCCACCACATGCATATCACCACTCCACCACATGCATATCACCACTCCACCACATGCATATCACCACTCCACCACATGCATATCACCACTCCACCACATGCATATCACCACTCCACCACATGCATATCACCACTCCACCACATGCATATCACCACTCCACCACATGCATATCACCACTCCACCACATGCATATCACCACTCCACCACATGCATATCACCACTCCACCACATGCATATCACCACTCCACCACATGCATGTCACCACTCCACCACATGCATGTCACCACTCCACCACATGCATGTCACCACTCCACCACATGCATATCACCACTCCACCACATGCATATCACCACTCCACCACATGCATGTCACCACTCCACCACATGCATGTCACCACTCCACCACATGCATATCACCACTCCACCACATGCATATCACCACTCCACCACATGCATATCACCACTCCACCACATGCATATCACCACTCCACCACATGCATATCACCACTCCACCACATGCATATCACCACTCCACCACATGCATATCACCACTCCACCACATGCATATTACCACTCCACCAC